CTGTCCCAAGGCTAGTGTCCCAAGACTACTGTCCCAAGACCAGTGTCCCAAGACCAGTGTCCCAAGGCTAGTGTCCCAAGACTAGTGTCCCAAGACCCTTGTCCCAAGACCACTGTCCCAAGACCACTGTCCCAAGACCCTGTCCCAAGACCACTGTCCCAAGACCCTGTCCCAAGACCACTGTCCCAAGACCCTGTCCCAAGACCCTGTCCCAAGACCACTGTCCCAAGACCCTGTCCCAAGACCCTGTCCCAAGACCCTTGTCCCAAGACCACTGTCCCAAGACCCCGTCCCAAGACCACTGTCCCAAGACCACTGTCCCAAGACCACTGTCCCAAGACCACTGTCCCAAGACCACTGTCCCAAGACCCTGTCCCAAGACCGCTGTCCCAAGACCCTGTCCCAAGACCACTGTCCCAAGACCCTGTCCCAAGACCACTGTCCCAAGACTGCTCTGTCCCAAGACTTCTTCGGTACTGTCCCAAGACTCGTCACGGAGTGTCTTCCTCGTTGTAGGGTCTTCTTGAATCACCGTACCTTGTACCACCACTCAAGCTCTAGTAAAATTTTCCCAAAAACCCTCTCTTAAAAGCCAAATGCTGACCCCCCTCTTCTTTTTGGTTGTTTCTATTTCAATGTAGGTGCGCAGGTATCTTGTGATCACCTGTTCGTATAAAACCAAACACAAATCCTCACTAAAATGCAACAAAAATCTAAGTAAGAAAAATAATAAAAACAGAAAAATGAGCCCACCTGAAATTCAAAGGTGACCAATGTCTACCTTTCGTCGAAAAAAATGTCTGGTACCTAATTGCCACGCGTTTTCATCCCCCCACTAGTGATCTTATGGGGTTTCACAAAAGCTGTTTATATCCGGTCCCCCCTACCAAACCAACCAGCGTACCAGTCTTAACTCGAGTTGAATTTTGGATCTCCACCTAATATTACCAACGCGTGTTAATTTCTAATGTAACTAAGTCAACGATGTCGACTAATTAGTTACTCTAATTTCCCCCTTTTTACAATTTACAACCGCCAACCTCTAACTTAACCAGTCCCCCTTCTAACCTCCCCCCTTTCTAGCCCCCCTTCTTAAGCCTAAAAATTACTTTAAGCGCCGGGTGCTAAACCTCTCAAGAGAAAACCGTAGACCTGTTTCCAGGCCTGCTCAAGTAAAAACGTTCCTCAAAACTGGGGGATTTCGCTTATCCAATTTTACACTTATCTCCTATAATGTAATGTGGATTCTAACGATACCCGTTCTGCCCAACTTGAGAACTCGAGAATTGCCAAATCCTTCTTGGCTGCTTTCCCACTCGACTGGTCACCTGTTCCAGTCCAGTCTCCTATTGGTTCAGCTCAAGTGTCCCTGAACCACTTTCCCACTCGGCTGGTCACCTCTTCCAGTCAAGTCTCCTATTGGTTCAGCTCAAGTGTCCCTGAACCACTTTCCCACTCGGCTGGTCACCTCTTCCAGTCAAGTCTCCTATTGGTCCAGCTAAGTTCCAAGCTATCTGAAAACCCTTGACGACGCCCCACTTCGGGCACTTTATTCAGTTTACTGGTTTAAATTGCTAGGTTGATCGAAACGATCGAACTTGTAAAACAGTATGGGTATACTATTTAATTAATATAAAGGTTTGATCCAACTAATCTGGTGTCAAAGTCACTGTCTTTTTTCGTTTTATGGTTTTTGTTTTGCTTTTTGTCTTTTTGCTCGTGTTTTTGTCTCCCTAGTTGCCCCCCTTTACTCGGTTAGCTAAGCCTCGTTCGGAGAGCGTACCAGGAAATTTTCTCGAGGTTTCTTAAAAAGCTATCACGGTACAACCGGAAGGTTTGCACGTTCCTGTCGAACCGTACCGCCGGTACTCTAGAATGGGCATTCAGCCCGAAGCTGTCTCAAGTGGGTTCGACTCCGTAGTCTTGATGTCGTAAACACCCAGGAGCGCCATAAAAACACTATGTAACATTCTTCTACTGCAGTCACACATGAGGCTTAAGAAAAATAGGCCCTATAACCACTGGCTCAAGGGTCAGGGACACTATCTCTTGTGTTTTTCTACCTCAAGAACGGTCGGAGCCAGTTCGGTTCGCTTGTGACATGAGACTACGACCCGTTACAGCTTAAAGGCTACTACTAAAATATCCCCCCACTCTAGAATTAGAAACGTCCCCATACTTAGGTCTCTAGATACCCAAAATACATGAACGCCGTTAAAAACCGGGTTGGAACAATCCGTTAAGTTACTTTTTATTAGACAGTGTAACTTTGATCCATTTCAGATGGATCAACCTAAAACTCGCCTTACCTCAACATAACAATTATAAAACACACTCTGGGAATTTAAATTTGTACTCACATAGTAGCACGCTCAAGAAGTGGGAAATAATCCAGTCGGTAACTAACTCAAGAATTAAATAACGTAACTAAATGAGTCTAATGTTTTATAGTTTTAACAATGAGAACGAGTTTATACTCTAGACAATAGTTTTCTTGTGAACCATTAGGACACTCAAGCTGTCCACCTTTCCACCGAAGGTTCACTCTAGTCCAGTTCCGAATAATACTCCAGTCGTTATAATCCAATTCGAGGGAATGCTCTCGTCTCTGTCACAGATGGGACAGCTCTACTCTCGATTATTATAGTGATGGAAATTGCGAATAGCAATTTCCTACTGCTTTTTCTTGCGACTTTCCCGCGTTTTCGACTCAATTGTTCTGAAATTGTTCTGATCTCTTTTTCTGATTTTCAGTTCTCGCGAGAAAATCGTGCATGACAGGTTCCATTCGAAATTTTGAAAAATTAAATTTCACTCCAAAATCAAGTGTTTTTTGCTTCTCTCAAGGTCAAACTTCCAAATATGACCGACTGGCACATGGTTTTGAATCAATTGTCGATTCTACCTTCGAATTTTTGCCCTATTTTGTTCAAATAACTTCACCAAAGGAAGGAACTTTGCGTTCGGGCCGTTTTTTCTACTGCCCAATTTTGTTTACCTTAAAGAAAATGGAAGGAACTTTGCATTCGGGCAACTTTTTCCACTAGCCAATTTTGACTACCTTAAAAAAATTGCAGGCGTTTGCGTGTGGTATCAATTTGAAGATCTTTTTATCGTAATTCGGATTCCAAAAAGATTCGAAAATTTTGCTCAGTTTTGGTATCTCCGTTTCTCGGAAGAAAAAACAAGATTTTTTATTTTTCAGAAAAAAAAACATTTTTTAAAAAGAAGAAATCGTTTTTTAAATTTTTCTTTTATTTTTTTGATTCATTTCCAAAATTATCGTTGACGGTAATTTTGAGCTATTGTCAGAGCAATCGGCTATCTATGTCACTTTTATGATGTTATTTTTAAAGATGTTACATTTTATGTTGTCAGTTATGAGTATTCATAGTTTCCACATATCAATGCGTTATTTAAAACACTTTTAAACCATCAAAAGTGATCATAAATTTAAAGTCAAAAATAAAAAAGATGCTATTAATCGTTGTTTAAGTTTTTTTGTCAACCCCAATTTAGAGTAGGATTTGATACCTTTTATGCCTGACTACGTGTTGGCTGTTTCCTACAAGCTCGCCGTAAATCAAACTAGATCGATTTTCAAGCCTGGTTTAATAGTCGTTCAAGTATTAACAGAATAAAAAATATTGTAAGCTAAATGTCCCAAATTAGCTAAATTGTCATTTTTCAAGCAGCCGTAACTTCTCAAAAACTGGTCAATTGGGAAATTGTTCTTTGAAAATTGAGCTTAGGACGTTGTTGCCTCTTAGGTGGTATAAAAAATGGTGCACAAAAATGTTTTCCTTGAAATCGGGACGCTAAAAATCATTGAAGGAAAGCAGTTTTCAAAAAATAGGATAACAACCCAAAAATATGAGAAACAAAAAGTGTTTATTTTTGGTTCTAAAGTTTTTGATAGTTTATTACAAAGGGCGATTCAATTAGGCAAACAAATGCAGAATGAGTGGTACATATAGCTCAAAACAACGTTTTATTTCTGTAGATTTAAATTAATAATTATAAAAATTGAGCTTAAATTGTTCAATTTTGTTCAGTTTGGCCAAATCAGGGAAAAATTTAGGAAAAAGTTTGAATTTGCGCTTAAGCAAATCAAGCTGCCTGAACTTTTTGTTTCGCAACCCTGATATAGAAGGGAGAAACTATGAAGCAGAAGTTTTATTCAGACCATTTCAGAGTCAGAGATTAACGTGTGCGCTAAAGATCCTTCCTTTCTTTTCCTGAGCTAGTCTTTTACCTGTTTATTTCACAGCCAGGAGACAATCAGAATTATTTTGCTCTTATTTTGAAGTGGGAAATAGCTGGTTGCTGTGCAAGTATATCAGAATGTTTCGACCACACTGATTGAGGAAAATGAGTTTTTTTCAATAATTTTTTGCTTGAATTCTTTTGTCTGAAACTCCCTGTTCTTTTTTTTTCAAGAACAGTCGATGAAATTTGTGAAAAATTGCACAAATGAGTTGCAATTATTAGCTTGTATAAGGTAAAAATCTTGTGGAAGTCGGCTTAGAGGTCAGCTATTATCCAAATTCCTATCATCCTTTGTCCAATGTGATATTCTAAAAAAATTTTAAATCAGACCAATTTTTTTCGAAACTTTATTTATCCGCAAATTTTCCTTGTAAATGCAGATTTTTTCTTTCTTCAGTGTAAAGAGAGAAATAAAACGATTAAATAAGACGACTTGTTTGCAAGGGACACAAGAGATATTATCAGCTGCCACGGTTATCCCATTTTGTTTGGTTTTTTGGACTCGGGTAGGGTTGCCTCACCCTCGCAAGCAACCAACTCGGATCATGTCGGTTTCTGACATCTGACCTTTCGATTGAGAGTCTTAGGACCTTCACCGCAGCTCCTCCCCTAAAGTATTTTTGCTATTCTTCTTAGATGGGATCATATTTCAAGTTGACTAACGTGTTTGCGTGTTTGCTTTCTTTTGAAAAGCAATTGATGCTATCTTATTTGTAGTGTTTTCTCTGCAGCTGGTCTTGGCAGTCCGGTGGATGGGTCCAAGTGCAACTCTGAGTGCAGTGACGTGGACCCCGGAGACAAGAAGTGTGGGGGCTTCACTGAGCTGGACGGCAAATACATCACCGAGAGCTAGTCAGTCGCGCATTTCTTTCTTAGCAATCGTAGGTGTGGGGAGGGGGGAGCTCAGTTGAATCACCAAATTTGAATACTTAACACTTCCAAAAAGAATGCGTTTCTTCCGACCGTTTTTTTAATCAAAAATGGGTAAAAACTAATTAATGCCAAAGCACAACTTGATACGCGAAATTTACCTTGATGAGGGAACAGTTCAAATAACATCGTGAGTTAAATTTCCAAATTAAGTAAATTGCTGACGCCTATGTTGATCGAGCGTCTTCACCACTCAGAAGCGAATCTCCTCTGTCTGGTTTAACGAACAGAATTTGTAAATTAAGTAAATTGCTGACGCCCATGTAGCTCGAGCATCCTCACCAGTCAGAAGCGAATCTCCTCTGTCTGGTTTAATAAATGGAGAAATTAAACTAAGTAAACTGTTGACCCTCATGTAGCTCGAGCATCTTCACCACTCAGAAGCGAATCTCTCTGTCTGGTTTAACGAATGGAATTTGTAAATTAAGTAAATTGCTGACGCCCAGGTAGCTCGAGCATCTTCACCACGCAGAAAGTAATCTCCACTATCTGGTTTAATAAATGGAGCAATTAAACTAAGTAAACTGTTGACCCTCATGTAGCTCGAGCATCTTCACCACTCAGAAGCGAATCTCCTCTGTCTGGTTTAACGAACGGAATTTGTAAATTAAGTAAATTGCTGACGCCCATGTAGCTCGAGCATTCTCACCAGTCAGAAGCGAACCTCCTCTGTCTGGTTTAACGAATGGAATTTGTAAATTAAGTAAATTGCTGACGCCCATGTAGCTCGAGCATCCTCACCAGTCAGAAGCAAATCTCCTCTGTCTGGTTTAACAAATGGAGCAATTAAATTAAGTAAACTGTTGACCCTCATGTAGCTCGAGCATCTTCACCACTCAGAAGCGAACCTCCTCTGTCTGGTTTAACGAACGGAATTTGTAAAATAAATAAATTGCTGACGCCCATGTAGCTTGAGCATCCTCGCCACGCAGAAGGTTATCTCCACTTTCTGGTTTAATAAATGGAGCAATTAAACTAAGTAAAATGTTGACCCTCATGTAGCTCGAGCATCTTCACCACTCAGAAGCGAATCTCCTCTGTCTGGTTTATTGACCGCAATTTGTAAATTAAGTAAATTGCTGACGCCCATTTTGCTCGAGCATCTTCACCAGTCAGAAGAGAATCTCCTCTGTCTGGTTTAAGGAATGGAAGTTGTAAATTAGGTAAAATATTGACGCCCATGTAGCTCGAGCATCTTCATCACTCAGAAGGGAATCTCCTCTGTCTTGTTTAATTAATGGAATTTGTAAATTAAGTAAACTGTTGACGCCCATGTAGCTCGAGCATCTTCACCACTCAGAAGGGAATCTCCTCTGTCTGGTTTTTTGAATAAAATTTGTAAATTAAGTAAACTGTTCAATCCATGATGCTAGAGCATCTTTGTCACTCAGAAGATAACCTCCTCTGTCTGTTTTAATGAACAGAACATCTAAACTAAGTAAACTGTTGACGCCCATGTAGCTCGAGCATCTTCACCACTCAGTAGGGAGTCCACTCTGTCTGGCTTAATGAATGGAAATTGTAAATTAAGCAAACTGTTGACGCACATGTAGCTCTAGCATCTTCTCCACTCCGAAGGGAAATTCCTCTGTCTGGTTTTACTAATGGAAATTGTAAACTAAGGAAATTGTTGACGCCCATTTTGGTCGAGTATCTTCACCACTCAAAGAGAATCTCCTCGGTCTGGTTTACCGAATAGAATTTGTAAACCAAGTAAAATGATGACGCCCATGCTGCTCGAGCATCTTCACCATTCAGAAGAGACTCTCCTCTGTCTGGTTTAATGAATGGATTTTGTAAATTAAGTGAACTGTTGATGCCCATGCAGCTCGAGCATCTATACCACTCAAAAAGGAATCTCCTCCGTCTGGTTTAATGAATGGAACAATTAAACTAAGTAAACTGTTGACGCCCATGTAGCTCGAGCATGTTGGCCACACAGCAGGGAACCTCCTCTGTCTGGTTTAATGACTGGAACAATTGAACTAAGTAAACTGTTAATGCCTATGTTGCTCGAGCATTTTCACCAATCAGAAGAGAACCGCCTCGGTCTGGTTTAATCATTTTGGACTTTGTAAACTAAGTAAACTTTTGACGCCCATGTTGCTCGAGTGTCTTCACCACTCAAAGAGAATTTCCTCGGTCTGTCTTAACGAATAGAATTTGTAAACCAAGTAAAATGATGACGCCCATGTAGCTCGACCATCTTCACCTTTCAGAAGAGAACCTCCTCTGTCTGGTTTAATGAATGGAATTTGGAAATTAAGTAAGCTATTGACGCTCGTGTTGCTCGAGTATCTTCACCACTCAGAAGAGAATCTCCTCTGTCTGGTTTATTGAATGGAATTTGTAAATAAATAAACTTTTGACACCCATGTAGCTCGAGCATCTTCACCAGTCAGAAGGAAATCTCCTCTATCTAGATTTTTAAATGGAATTTATAAATAAAGTAAATTTTTGACGCCTATGTAGCTCGAGCATCTTCACCACTCAGAAGGAAATCTCCTCTGTCAGGCTTAATAAATGGAATTTATAAATAAAGTAAACCGTTGACGCCTATGTTGATCGAGAATTTTTACCAATCAGAAGGAAATCTCCTCTATCTGGTTTATTAAATGGGGAATTTATAAATAAAAAAAAACTGTTCACGCCCATGTAGCTCGAGCATCTTCACCACTCGGAAGGAAATCTCTTCTATCTGGTTTAATAAATGGAATTTATAAATTAGGTAAACTGTTCACACCCATGTAGCTCAAGCATCTGCATCACTCAGAAGGAAATCTCCTCTGTCTGGTTCAATAAAGGGAATTTATAAATGAAGTAAACTGTTGACGCCCATGTAGCTCAAGCATCTTCATCACACAGAAGGAAATCTCCTCTGTCTGGTTTAATAAATGGAATTTATAAAGAAAGTAAACTGTTGAAGCCCATGTAGCTCGAGCATCTTCACCACTCGGAAGGAAATCTCCTCTATCTGGTTTAATAATTGGAATTTATAAATAAAGTAAACCGTTGACGCCCATGTAGCTCAAGCATCTTCATCACTCAGAGAGAAATCTCCTCTGTCTGGTTTAATAAATGGAATTTATAAACAAAAAAACTGTTGACGCCCATTTAGCTCAAGCATCTTCATCACTCAGAAGGAAATCTCCTCTATCTGGTTTTTTAAATGGAATTTATGAAGAAAATAAACTGTTGACGCCCTTGTAGCTCGAGCATCTTCATCACTCAGAAGGATATCTCCTCTATCTGGTTTATTAAATGGGGAATTTAATAATAAAGTAAACTGTTCACGCCCATGTAGCTCAAGCATCTTCACAAGTCGGAAGGAAATCTCCTCTATCTGGTTTAATAAATGGAATTTATAAATAAAGTAAACAGTTGACGCCCATGTAGCTCAAGCATCTTCATAACTCAGAAGGAAGTCTCATCTGTCTGGTTTAATAAATGGAATTTATAAAAAAGTAAACTGTTGACGCCCATGTAGCTCAAGCATCTTCGTCAATCAGAAGGAAATCTTCTCTATCTGGTTTTTTAAATGGAATTTACAAAGAAAGTAAACTGTTAACGCCCTTGTAGCTCGAGCATCTTCATCACTCAGAAGGAAATCTCCTCTATCTGGTTCATTAAATGGAATTTATAAAGAAAATAAACTGTTGACGCCCTTGTAGCTCGAGCATCTTCATCACTCAGAAGGAAATCTCCTCTATCTGGTTTATTAAATGGAATTTATAAATAAAGTAAACTGTTCACGCCCATGTAGCTCGAGCATCTTCACAACTCGGAAAGAAATCTCCTCTATCTGGTTTAATAAATGGAATTTATAAATAAAGTAAACAGTTGACGCCCATGTAGCTAAAGCATCTTCATAACTCGGAAAGAAATCTCCTCTGTCTGGTTTAATAAATGGAATTTCTAAATAAAGTAAACTGTTGACGCCCATGTAGCTCGAGCATCTTCACAACTCGGAAAGAAATCTCCTCTATCTGGTTTAATAAATGGAATTTATAAAGAAAGTAAACAGTTGACGCCCATGTAGCTAAAGCATCTTCATAACTCGGAAAGAAATCTCCTCTGTCTGGTTTAATAAATGGAATTTCTAAATAAAGTAAACTGTTGACGCCCATGTAGCTCAAGCATCTTCGTCACTCAGAAGGAAATCTCCTCTATCTGGTTTATTAAATGGAATTTATAAATAAAGTAAACTGTTCACGCCCATGTAGCTCGAGCATCTTCACAACTCGGAAAGAAATCTCCTCTATCTGGTTTAATAAATGGAATTTATAAATAAAGTAAACAGTTGACGCCCATGTAGCTCGAGCATCTTCACAACTCGGAAAGAAATCTCCTCTGTCTGGTTTAATAAATGGAATTTCTAAATAAAGTAAACTGTTGACGCCCATGTAGCTCAAGCATCTTCGTCACTCAGAAGGAAATCTTCTCTATCTGGTTTTTTAAATGGAATTTACAAAGAAAGTAAACTGCTGACGCCCTTGTAGCTCGAGCATCTTCATCACTCAGAAGTAAATCTCCTCTATCTGGTTTATTAAATGGAATTTATAAATAAAGTAAACTGTTCACGCCCATGTAGCTCGAGCATCTTCACCACTCGGAAGGAAATCTCCTCTGTCTGGTTTAATAAATGGAATTTATAAATAAAGTAAACTGTTGACGCCCATGTAGCTCAAGCATCTTCATCACTCAGAAGGAAATCTCCTCTGTCTGGTTTGATAAATGGAATTTATAAATTAAAAAAACTGTTGACGCCCATGTAGCTCAAGCATCTTCATCACTCAGAAGGAAATCTCCTCTATCTGGTTTATTAAATGGAATTTATAAAGAAAATAAACTGTTGACGCCCATGTAGCTCGAGTATCTTCACAACTCGGAAGGAAATCTCCTCTATCTGGTTTAATAAACGG